GTGTTTTTGTAGTTTTTTGTTCTTTTTTTTGGGGGGGGGGGGATGATTGCTCAGTGATCTGGTTATCTAAATAACACTGTTTTCATAAGTAAGCTAATCAGAAAGGCAGCAGTTCCCACACATCTGAAATCCGGCCAGCATAGCAACAAAGAAAGTTAGCCAATTAGGCCTGCAGGATGACAAACAGAGTGAGAGGCACTGAATATGCATGAGTCACAATCATTTTGTAAATGTAAATCAACTGTCCCCCGTCCGCATGTGTCACAGAACACGATGATCAACTATTGATCTTGTGATGATCACAGTTCCTGGTCAGACAATGATGTCGGCTGTGATGAATTTGTCACACGTTTTCTATTATTGCTTCTATTTTTCTCCTCCTACTTTCCAGTTCTTGAGCCCAAACAAAACAATAAGTAGTGCGTAGCTTTGGTCTGTGGCCAAATGTTGGTCTCACCAGATGTGTGGAAACCTGTGCCGGCTGGATCAGCAGGTAGTCCCGAAGCCTGAGATAATTAGAAACCCTGTAAATCCTGTAGGAGCACAGATGGATATTACCATTTAGTCACTTCCCTAAGATAGGCGTATAGTGTTATTACAGCCCATGTGCTAATTTATGACATCTGCCTGAGAGTTTGTATTGTGAGAGCCACAGGACTGAGTATAAATCACTTCAGCCTTGTTTTGGATACAAGGCAATTTGATGTTACAGACAGGGATCGACCCCAGGTTGTTGTCTTGCCCACTCAAACATCTTCCTTTAATAAAAGGTTCATGTTTTGGGCTCTGGGCTCTCCGGCAAGGTGACTCATCGTGCAGCATGGCTCTGAGCTGCCTCTTTTAGCTCCAGACAAAGAGCAAGCAAACAAAGCACTGAGGGAAAACCCTGAACTACACTACTACATCAGCTCCTCATGCTCATATTTGCTTTTATTTTGCCTCCACAGCACTCAGCTTTCTACTCAAAGGGAAAGTGCCTCATACCTCCATGGGTGCAAGGCGTGTGTGTGGGGGGGGGGAAGCTCACGTTTGCCATTTCATTGTTATTTCATTATTCAAACAGGTCACAACAGGGGCCGGGGATCATGTCGCTGTCAGCGGGCCAATTACCTACAGACATAATCACCTTCCTCTGTGGGTTGCATTGAGCACGAATCCTTATTAACTGTCTGTCAAAGGCATCAGCGGGCGCCGCGGTACAGTCGCTCAGCCACTGACTCCACTTAACGCAGTCTGGATTCACAAAAGTCGTCACAAAAGGGCTTGAAGGGAATTACTGGCTTGTTGGTGTAAGAGGAGGTGGTGGAGGTGGGTGTTGGTAATCACCCCGGCCTGCCCTTTACTCTGGTAGTGCTCGGCGGCGTGTTTCCACAGGCACACTCAGTCAGGAGCTCGGGGTGGGGGGGGTACTTCAACACCTAAATTTTTTTTGTCTAAAGGTTGCAGCTGAGGAGGAAGACCATTTTCTTAGTCATGAAGTGACACACCGAATTAACACCTTCGTGCTCTGCGAAGTGGCCCCGAGGTACAAATGCATGACAGCTCATCCGAGCAGGAGGAGTGTGTGCTTGTGTGGGTGTATTTGTGTGTGTAGCAGGCTGCCTTTATGTTTGTTGGCCCTCTTGTTGTTATGAGGGTAAATCTAGCTAAGTATTAGTGTTAACAAATCCCATGAAAACAAAAACAATCAGCTCATCTGAATTAAAATCATTGTCTGTTTTTCTTAAATGTTCTGCACTCTAGAGCGCCGCTGTTGCTCGTTAAAATCATAAATGTTCAAAGTTAATGACAAATGAAGTCCAAAAACGCTCTCCAGACACACGTCTCATCTGACGCCTACTTTGGCAGGAGGTAATCTGGCCGCTGTTGTGGTTCGGTTACGTTTAGGCACAAAGATGACCTGGTTTTTGGAAGAGAAAGGCTGTGGTCGAGGTTAATATTATAAATAAACTACCACACATTTC